TTCCTCTCGAATAACCTGCTTTTTTCCGGTACTCAAGGACCGTAAGTTGCAGTACTCAAGGAACTTTTCCTTGTTGGGCAAACAGCATCTCCCTACTCAGGAAACTCTCGACCATGTTATTGCTAGTATCCATTTTTCGATGGAAGTGTGGAATTAGGCGAATTATCCGAACACTGCGACAACAACCCCGCTCACGACGAGGGGCGAAAAGCGACGTTAACGACATCTGGGGGCACGACACAGCGGCGCACGGCGAGCAGCACTCCGTCCGCCAACCTCACGACACGATCCGATCGGCCCGCTGAATTTCCGCATCCGTAATCTTGCCACTTCCCTTCCTACGGGGTCACACTCTAACTCACACTTATACTCGTGTACTACTGTGTGAGCTCAAACGTGGGCTAGCATCTCCCATGCGGTGACATCCGAAAAGGCTCCCTGAGCCTCTGAGGCCGCGGAAGGAGCGGCAGTACTGCCATGCTGAGGAAGCACATTCAGGCGTTGCCAAATTTCCTTTAATATAACGCGAATTTCCTGGTAAACTTATAAATATTTTCCTCCAAATTTTTCAGATAATTTTGTTCGCAATTGCACCAGAAGATTCTGAAAATGTAGAGGAGGAATATTCATAACTTCCCTGTAAAACGAACATGTTGTCGAAGGAAATTTGGCAACACTCGAATGTTCATTACGACGTCAACTTTGAGAGTTTTGTTCAAGTTTCGGGGTTTGCTTTAGAAAAAAAACAATGGCGCCCTTGAGCTTCTCGCCAAATTTGACATAGGAATCTGTACTTAAATCGCTAATCCCTGACACCTGCACTGGAAAGAAAAAAAACACATTGGATCTAGAGTCCAGACTCTTGAAAACATTGACAAGAAAAAGGACTCTTGATTCAATCGATTTAAGCTTAAATTAAAGGAAATCCGCTCAAATTAAGAGACTTGGTTCCTGATTTAAGCTTAAATCTGATTGAATCGAGAGTATTTTTTCTTGTCGATGTTTTTAAAAGT